AAAGGAGAGCACACCTTTTGTGTGTCAAAATGTTGTTATTGTTTTTTCTCTCTGATTGGGAAAACATATTGAAAACACTTGTATTACCCGATAGAGCCCTTAAGGCACAGAGCGAGGCAAATTTGAAGGTAGATACAACTAATAATTGTTTTTGTAAACCATACTCCAGCAGCAGCGACGGCCACTGTCACAAGGCTATTTTTAGTCTTGAAACAACAAATTTTTACGATGGAAAAACAAATGCCAAGTCAACACTTCAAAACAAAATATGCAGAGCTAGTACTTCAGCCTCCGTATCACCTTTATTACAACTGATTTTTCAGGGTCTAGGCAGCATTGAATGCAAATGAATTCACTTTCAATATCAATGTATTGTAAATACATGTGTATGTATGTAGGTGGCTAGGTAATCATTGGCCTGTGCAGCACTTAAAACCAAAAAGGCCTAGGTAAAATGTTTTTAAATTGCCTTTTTTAGAGGAAGAAGAATAGGGAAAAAACCATCAACCAGCCATCCATCCCCACAGCAACCAACATATGTGGCCTGTCTGTCCCAAACATTTCATTTACGCTTGATTCTTTGTGAAAAGTGATTCATTTGTTTGCAATGCCATGAAATAGTGTTCTCCAACAACACTTTACAAAATCCAAGTGAATGGGGGTTTTAAATAACCATTGCTGCAAAGGTGCAACACTCAGCCACGGTACGAAAAACAAAGAACACGAAGTAGGAGAGTTGTTGTCTGGTGATATAGAACGACCTGAGATTTTGTTGCAAAGTTTACAAACTAATTTTAGCTCGGGTGTCTGTCAAACAGATGGAGGGAGACATAAACGAATGGACGATGCAGACAGACAGACGAACGGACCAACATTTAAGTTAGCAAGACATGTCACAACCGGCTCATGATAGATGTGATATTGCCAGCAAAGCATATCTACTGATGCTGCGAAGAAGAAACACCTCTCAGAAATAATGCGTATACGATTTGTGGTATTGATCAGGTCCACCACAACATGACACAAATGTGCTATCAAACAATACAACATTGTATGAGAGAAGAATTTTTTGCTGCAACAATGTTGCGGGAATAATTTGAAGAAGAAAAAAAAATACTTAAAATATTTAGAGAAGAAATCACAATTTAGAAGAAAAGTGAGAGGATACAAAACTGCCTCAAAAAGTGATTTCAAAAAATCAAAAGCTCTCTAGGGATTTTGAACAAAAGCTAAGGGAATCGGAAGCTTCCTCCGGATTTTATAGAAAGAAAAATCCCTAATATCAATATTCCGCTAACAAATTAATAGGAACCCATTTAATATTAAATTGCAGGTTTTTTCTACTCATATTAAATTGTTAAAAACTATTTAAAGAAAAAAATCCATTGCCATCAATATTCAATTCCCTTTGAGCATTACTATTAACTACACACAAAACTGACTATTCATTTTTACTTCATTGTTTTTAATTTTTCTATTTTTTGTTCGGACTTTTTTTTCAAGCTCCATAAAACTTTAACCAATTCATGTTTCATTGAATTGTATTTAACAATTACTTGGCAATTGTGCGAAAATTTATAACTATTGAACACAAAAATACCAAAAACAAAAAATCCATACGTATGTATTTACATAACCACAACGAAAGCAGAGAGCTGACGAAAAAACAAATTCTATATTTTTTGGGGTAGGAGTGAAATTCTCTTTTGAAAATGCCTGGCATTATGCAGGCGTTGCATTGTTGCCAAAGGCTAGGCTTTTGTTAAATAATATACCGAACATTTTTATTTAAAATTAATACCCGAAAATAAAACAAGGAAAACTGCCGAAAAAAACCAGAGCTTTGTTCCCAACACACACACGGAGGACCCCCAAAAACAGATCTGAAACAAACAGGCAACCAGCCAGACAAACGGACACAGAGAGTGCGGGAGAGAGAAACAACAAATAAATGTGGCCTTTAAAAAAATGTTGCCGAAAAATTTGTTTCATGAACAACAGAAAAGAACATTCTGTTGTATTTCGTTTCAATTTTATTTTTTTGGAAATTTATTTGTATTATTTTCCTGTGTTGTTGTGGAACGAACCCACACTCAATAACCAGCAACATTTTTTGGCCATGGGGGCCCGTAAAATTTTTACCCAAAAGGTATTTTTGCATATGTTTGGCGTATGGTCTTTGGTTGGTTTGGATTTCTTTCTTTTTTTGGATATTCAATGTTTCAGTTTTTTCTGTTTGTTTGCAATTGAAACTCAAAAAACATTCCATGCAATTTTCAGTTTTACAACTGTTTCTCAATAGCAATTCCTTTTTACTTTTGTTTTTTTCGGACACAACATCTACTTGATTTTTATTTTATTTCGATTTTTTACGAAGAGTGAGATATTTGGGAGAGAGAATCCCCCCATATTGGCAAACAATTTACTTAACACAGTAAAACATATAAGGCGGCCTAGCGAAGTGCTGAAGATAGGACTATTACAATAACACAGCAAATATGTAAATCCCAATTTTATTCAATATCCACAAAAGGAACAACATGAAACAATTGAAAAATAATAATTTCTCCAAGAGACAAATGAAAATGAAGAAATTTTTTGGAAGAAAGGGTAACAGGACGAAAATGCAGTGGTCTATTTTCGCTATGTCAAAAAATAATATGTTGATTTGTATAACTTTAAAGAGGTTAACTCCAAATTTATTAAATGCAAATACGTCAGAAATCGGTTTTCGGGATATAATAACTTTAAATGAATATGTTGATTTGTATAACTTTAAATGCAAATACGTCAAAATCAAGAATCATCTTCGGTTTTCGGGATATAATAACTTTAAATGCAAATACGTCAAAATGTTACCTCCTCTCCTTCTGAAAATAAATGAAAAAAATAAAAAAATGTATTAAAATTTATTTCAATAAATATAATGATTAGAAAAAATAGCCTTTAATATATTTATAAAAAAATAACTTAAATACCACGCTTCCGAGAAAGAATAAAAATGCCCATAAATTTATTGCAATTTAGCTGTCCAAATATTTATTTTTTGTTTTATGTCTCTATTAAAATTAATTTGAAATATGTATGTTATTTTTGTTGTTGTTGTTGGGGCTATTATTGATATATCAACGTGTGGCAGCTTCACTTTTTTGGATTTTTATTAAGGGCTATTTTTTCAGAAAGAATTTTTTCGTCTAAGTCAATTAAAATCTATTAAATTTTTCGTGTACCATGCGATTCGTGATACAAATTGATTTGGCATAATTGATGGGAATAAATCAACAAATAAACAAAAGAATTGAATTCAAATCAAGGAAATGGTGAGGGGAGAGATTTCAACAACAACAAAAACAAATTCAAGGTACATCTATTTATAGAAAAATATAACAATTCTTCTCACAAGAATCACCAACTTCTCCAAGTTCTCTACCCGCATTTGCCCTGCAACTTATTGAACTTAACTACTCCCCCTTTTAATTGATCATTCCACCCAAAACTTCTTATATTTGGAGAAAAAAAATAATGTTCCAATAAAAACGAAACGAACTCTCTCTCTTAATTGAAGAAACCAATTTTATGAAGGAATTAATTTTTTTCGTTGTCAATAAAACAAATAGAAAGAAAATATAAATTAAATGCATTGTAAATTTGCAACGGTCACGCACGCATGTGTGTTCCAAAGGTGGTGTACATACAAAGAACCACTATAAAAATTGTGCCCCATATGATGTGTGCATGCGCACCGCCCGCATGTAACACTGTATGCTGTGTGAAGAACATAATAACAGCGATGACGTTCCATCGTCATCAGGCAAGGAGCATGCTCTGTGTAATATTCAATTCGTCGATTGCAGGCTGGTGAATGCCGGCCACTTTTTTTTATATTGTTAATTGAGGTAAATTAAGGTATATGATGTGATCAAATGTCATTTGATTACAGGGGGAGAGAAACAATTTTATGCCTGCTTTTTGGTTGTTCGAATAAAGTTCGCTGACTGAAGTGCCGGTCGGTCGGTCGTTCGCTCACATTCGAAAATTGATGTTACACACAATCTTCATCGTTTCAATTGAAATTAATGTTAACAATCACCCGTTACTAAATCGTATTTGTAGTCACCGTCATCGTCATACATTTTCCAGTAATCAAGCGAACTGTACTCTGTACAATAAAAAAAGACAGACAGGAGGCACACAGATAAGGTCTCGTTTTTTTCCAATAATCAACTCCATTTTTGTTGTTTACCGTAACACGAAAAGATTGTGGAGAGATGAAGAGGAGCTGGAGGAGGATGAGGAATGGGCAAGAATGCAATCAAGCCAGCCATCCAACCAACCAACAACCATTTTAAGATTGCTTTTGTTTCGTTATATATATTTTTCTCTCTATATATATACACATGCCTCACCATGACTTGGCAGGTTCTTTATGCGGTTGGCTTTCGTCTTACCTACCTACTACCTCTTCCAATACATAACGACTTCTTTGAAGAGTCACTGTGTGTGTGCGGTGAGTGTGTGCCCAGCTTGACTTGAGAGTTCGCCGTTTCTTTTGTGTTTTGCTTTATGGCTCACCTTCTTGGTGAACAACCGCACAATCATTTTTTGTTTTCTGTGCGTATAACAACAACAACAACAAAACAGGAATATGGTGGAATTCAACATGGTGATCTTGGAAGACCTTTTGTTGTACGTAAAAAATGCAAAAACAACAGCTACGGACAAAAAATTAAGTCAAACAATTGAGTCGAAGCCAGCAACAGTTTCCTACGCCTTCTTTAAGAAAAAATGACTACAAAATGAGATCATCATTTCTGTATACCTTTTTGAAAAAAAAACATCAACAGGGAATAAATGGAGCTCCTTTAAGAGTTCCACAAAACAAAAAAACATGGCTAATTTATTTTGATTAACTTAAAATGGCTTCCTTTCCTATTTTTTAATTATTAAACATTTCATGGAATTCATTTTTTTAATTAATGACTTGATTTTTATCTTTACAGTTCCTTCATTGACCTCCACTCTGCATCATCATCATCAGTCCAAGAGCAGTAATGCCAGCACCACTGTTGATGATGAAAACTCGAATGGTGTTGCGGCCTCATCGTTGGGCGCCACTTCACCCACACCCCAACAGACGGACTTTATGGTTACATGTCCACAATGTCATATGCGATTAAATGGCTTTGAGGTAAGTATTTATAAAAAAATAAGCATAAATCGTATCATTTTAGTTTTCAATATTTTTTTCAAAATTTTTAAATTTCTATTTTTTAAAATTTCCATTTTATTTTATTTATTTATTTATTTCTTTATTTTGAATTCCAGTCCCTACGTGATCACATTGCCAGCCAACATCCCCATGATAAACTTAATATTGAACCCTCCTATCCAAGTCCGCCAGCTGATCGTGACATGGTTAATCATCAAACCTCCAACACCGAAAATGCTCAAAATGAAAACACCACAAACACCGCAATGGACAGTGGTGATGAGAGTAATCAAAGTTCTAGTGAATCGAAAATGATGTTCAATAATAACAACAACAATAGTCAAGAAAAGAATAACAATAGTATTAATCATCATAATGACACACCCAGCCACTCGTCCGCCCCCAATACACCACCTCCATCTGTAGTTGGCCAACAGCATCACAACTCCAATAATGGTCTTGGAGATTTAAACACATCTCCCTTTGCCAGTCATTTGCCACATAATTTACATCCAGCTGCTGCAGCACAATTCATGGCTGCCTTGGCCATGCAACAACAGCATCAGCAGCAACATTCTGGCAATACTTCACCCACATCCCATTTATTAGGTGGCTTCAATGGTCATCATCAGCATACTATGGCCCCGCAGCAACAGCATTCTTCGTACGATAACACCACCATGGATACAATGCGCTCCACCTCAAGTCCCGGTTCCTGTGGTGGCAGTGATAACAATTCGGCGGCCAGCAGTATAAGTCCACCGTATCAGTGTATGCATTGTACGGCATTGTTTCAGACCCGTCATGAATTGGAGAAACATGAGGTGATGCATTCACCCAATGCGCAATCGCCACAGTCTCTGAATGGTGTTAATCAAGTAAGTACAAGATTTTACAAACTACTACATTTTTTAAGGTTAGGTTTAGGAGAGAAGGGAAGTAATTCTTTTCTTCTCTTCGTCTTCATCTTATTTTATGTGAAGAATAATGACTGCAAGTGTTAATGATACGTTAAATAAGAAAATGCTTAAAGTACACTTGAAAAAAGAACGAAAAGAAAAGAAATGAGAGCTCGTTACTCAAAGTCATAAAACCAGAAACGAAAAAAAAAATGGAGGAAGGGGAGGGGGGAAGAAAATAAAATATGAATTCTCTGACAAAGAGTTTACATTGTTTAAAGTTATTTTTTCTCAAAAAGAATGGACCAATGAAAGATGTAATTTGATAAGCAAGGCAACCATCAAGCATTTCTTGTAACAATTTAAGAAATAACCAAGATAGGCTTGGAAAAAAAACAACAACAAGTGATTTCTTTTAGTGATTCATATCAGTGAGCAGGCAGGCAACTATCTCGTCGTTATTTTTATAATAAACCGCAAACGTAAAGAATTTTTATAACTCAACCACAAAGGTTTAATTCTTAATGTCCGCCAGAGTCATTCTCTACATATGTATATACCTTATATTTGTTTCTTTAATCTTCAGAATGATCTTTGTACTATAGTACGATGGGTGTGTATTTGTTCCCCCACCCCATTCATCTACATCGACACAGTACGCCACTTGAGTATTGAGAACAAAGCATGAGCTTTGTTTAGCATTTAAATACCTCAAGAAACTGATTTTCGAGAGCAGAGTTGAATGTTGTTTTGATTGGAATGCTGTTTTCAAAAAAAAATGGCTTCTTGTGGCTTTCCCATGAATTCAGCCATTAAGGTTTTCTATATAGCAAGAATTGACTTGTGACTTTTGAGTCATAACAAGTAAAAGATTTGATTGAAATTCTTGTTGTTGTACTTCCATCGCTTGATTAATATGCCCAAGCTATGAATGAAAAGCATCAGTGTTTGGGATGTGTAAAAAACATTTGAAAGAAATATTTCTATGGCATTTCCGGTTCAAAAGTGGGGAAATATTTGAGATTTCTTTACGGAATTTTGGGGGCAAATGATCGGGAATTTTTTGAAATAATAACTTTAAATGCAAATACGTCAAAATTGAATATGCCTTGTGGGGCAAATGGTCTGGTTTTTTGAAATAATAACTTTAAATGCAAATACGTCAAAATTGAAAACCATTCGTGGAACTGATTTATCCTGAAAATAAAATAATTAAAAAAACACTTACCTTGACATCACAAATTTGTCTTGAGGGACAAATTATCAGGGTTTTTTTAAATAATAACTTTAAATGCAAATACGCCAAAATTGAAATCAATTTTTTGGGAACTGGTACTTCCTGAAAATCAAAGAATTTAATACATACATACCTTGGCATCAGAAATGTCCCTAGAAGTTGTATACACTTCTGGGCAAAGTTGAGCTTGGAATTAAAATTTGATGGATTTTTTAATAAAAACTTTAAATGCAAATACGTTAAAATTGAAATCCATTTTTGGGAACTGGTCTTTTTCTGAACTGAAAATAATAAAAAATATTAATTAAACTCCAAATAATAGTAGTTGAATAATACACCTACCTTTGCAAAAGGTTTCCTAGAGTTTTCCATGTAAGTCCATAGCTTAAAAAATTTAACCACCATTTATGAAACATTTTACCAAAATTAGTTTTAGTTTTCGTTTAGGTTTTATTCTCCTTCGTTTTTGATGTGGTAGACGCCCCTTGATTTTTTTGTCTTAACTCTAGGCCATATTTTTGCATAAAATGAAAATGTGCCTATATGGATAAATGTTTCCTAAACAAAATTGCCCTCGAGACTTATGGAACAAAAAAATAAAAAAAAAAAACAAATCTCATATCATAACCATAGGTAGTTTAGTGGCCTTTTTGGTGCTCTATGTGCTCCATCAAAGTTTTGACGATGGAAACTTTTTTATATGATTTTCTGCCGCCCTTCGCCACCCCACTAATGGAGGAAACAGGAAGTTAAACATGCATTGCATATCTTTGTTGTTCTTTTTTTTTATTAAGTAAACAATCTGTGAAGATTATTTCATATTTGTATCAAAGCAAGAACATCGACAAAAAAAAATGACTCTTAGAAAAAAACACCACACATTAGAAATGAATTTATGGTCATGATAGTAAATATGGGGTGGAATGAGAAGGTGGTAAGGCAAGTGACCCATACTTTCTCTCTATGGACAAGGGAGGGGTGTGTGTGAACAGAAATTATAATTTATGTTTTTGTGATAATGTCATGGCAAGCTATCACCTTACTGTAACTGTTACTACTAGGCATCATTTCTTTTTTTCAGATGAGGGTCATAATTTTCCTCTCTATACGTATTTATGTATATAGTGTTTTTCTTCTTTTTTATGGTCCAAGACGCCATTTCTGAAAAGGAAAAAAGTTTCAGTTTTTTACCTTCTTATCAGTAAAAGACGACGAAGAAGAAAAAATCCAACAACAACATCGAAACTATTATAAGTGTGACATTTGATGTTGGTTGGTTTGGTTTTTGTCTTCCATGCCTAGGTAGTTGTAATGAAACAAAAAATCTTATCAGTTCCAGTTTTGCTTGTCCGTCTTATGGGTGTAGTGGTGGTTGAGTGTACAACAATTGAAAGTTATGACTGACAGATAAAAAAATAAACTCAGTACAAGACAAAGGAGAAAAAATAATAATAACCATATCTTGCTGCCTAGTCCAAAGAACCCATTTATGATAGGCCCATTCCATTTACTGTTTAAAAATGTGTGGATGAGTGTTTAGTACAACTACTATCTAACCTTTTAGGTTCGGGTTTTTTATTATTAGTCTCTTGATATTGTTCCACTACAAAACGGAAATGCGGTTGAGTGTAGACTACAAAAACAATGCAAGTGTTTTTTACAAATTAAAGAGGTATACGCCTACGTTTTAACCATTCATTCATAGTTTGTATTTACTTTTTTTAAGAGATAAGAATTCATATACTTGGAAATACAAATAAAAATGGCGTTCGAGTAAATACTTTATGTTTGGTTGTAGAAAATTTAATGGCGACAGGTTTTAAATAATTTCAATCAATTCGGATTTTTATTAACTTTAAATGCAAATACGTCAATATAAAAAAAATCGGATTTTTAATAACTTTAAATGCAAATACGTCAATATTTAAAAAATCGGATTTTTAATAACTGTAAATGCAAATACGTCAAATATGAATAGGCAGAGCAAATCTCTTCTTTTTTCCGCTACATAATCCAGATATCTCCGTTCCACAAGTCTCCTCCTTCTAACTTCAACATTTTTATGAATTAAATTTTTTATTAATAACTTTAAATGCAAATATGTCAAAATTTGTTTGTCTAATAATATATAGATTTCCACCTGACATTTCTACACCTCATCCTCACATTTTAGCTTCCACATTTTTCTGATTTTAAATTTATTTAAGATATTTGTTAATAACTTTAAATGCAAATATGTCAAAAGTTGTAATTCATATAAAAAAACTATGGACAATAGTAATTAATTTGCTACAATTTTTAACACATTTTTATTTTACACAAAACAAAATCATAAATGAACCTGAGCGAACGCACAGTTTTATCGGATTTTGTTGGCAATTTGTTAACCAACAATGGCCACCAGTGGACACAATAATACAATTATGTGTGAAAACCAATTAATTATGCAAATAGTGGCATATGTTATAGCTTTTGGCGCGCCCGTTTGCACAGATTAATCGCATTTAAAACTTATTAACTATTTGTTGAGCCCAAAAAACCTGAGCATTAAGCTTTGTTGATACTCTTCTTCTGGTTGTTGTTTATATGCCAAATAATAATAAAAATTAAAGCAAATTATGAGGTTGAAACCAGAACAAAAAAAAACAGCCAGTTCTGTTGCTTGCCTACTATTTAAATCCAGTTTAACGCACATGTGATATATTTACTATATAAACGGCTCGCCATCAACATTTCTTGCTCGCTCTCTCTCGGTCATATAAAGTATATGGCTAACCACTATGTGGTGACATTTTCAACATTGCAATGCAGCAATGGTTGAACAAAAACAAAACGACTCAACTGAACTATAAGCCAGAGTGGACAGCAAAGTCTACAAAAGCCAACATTCATAGGTCAAATAAAGGAATAGTATCAACAGAGCCGAGGATGGTGGCTTCAAATGCCATGGATTTGGCATCACCCACTTGACCACATGATGGTTGGAAAAAAGGTCGATCGGCCGCCAAGGGTGCGGATGAATCCGGCCGGTTGCAAACAAAAAAACATTAAATTGTTTACAATGTTTAAATATCTGTATATATAGACGCACAAACACACAATAATTGATGGAGGCTGGGGTGGGTGATAGAACATTTATTTACAGTTAAACATTTTTAACTGTTGATGTTCGTTGATAGGTCGTTCGGTCTGTTGACCATCATTTTTAAATGGTCAACACCACGAGATGAGTGTCAGACAGGAGTAGCGGCAGCAGCAACAAATGGACCCATGAATGAATACTTAAATGGTAACATCATATGATGATTGGAAAACGAACTACATAGCTTTAATAAAAAAACAAAAATTAAATTTTTAAATTTGAAAAAAAAAATATTTTGGGAAATTATAGAGTAGGGGAGACTGGGGCACCTTCGGCATCGGGGCACCTTCGGCATTCGCGTTTTCGATATGAAGCTCTCACCGTACATCACTAGTTTCGATATATAGGTATCGAGAATCGAAATAAATAACTGACACAAAGTTTGAAATTTCTAGCTAATAAGCTTTTTTAGATACATGGGTTTTTGTATTTTTATAAATGTTTCTGTAATATTTCAATTTCATTTCGTAAGTATTTCGTGTATAAAACTTTTGAAATTTTTAAGACAATAGTATTAAAAAGTTGTTAACTACGATGTGTATTATTATAGAAATATTTAAAAATATAATGTTTTTACAAAACTGATCGAAAAAAATGAAA